ATTCTCAATATAAAAGCGGAAAGAAATTAAATAAGAAAAAAAAACGTCCTTGCGAAGAGACGAGACGGACAGTGAATAACGCCAGAAACACGAACTAAGTAATAACACACAGACTGAGCTCAGCCGGAGTTTTCATCTCATTTGGCGGCTTTCTTTTCTCTCCTTAGCTCTCACAGCTTTCCGGCCATGCCTCAAAATTTTAGGATGGCGAAGTCCCCCGGGGACTTTGGCGGTTTTTATATGTGCGTCACGGCGAGCGGAACCTCTCACATCTCGCGCGCCGTTCCTCCCCAGGGAACCTCGGTTTAGGAAGGAATAAAAGAGCGGGCTGTGACCCACGCCTAGCCTGACCATGTACTATAATGACAGCTGGGCCAAGCTCCACGCACCGTCTGCACAAGGGTATTTAGTGCAACGGACGGGCGTCATCGATTGAAGGAAATAGATCACGCTCAAGAATTATCTCAAAGATAGCTATAGTAGGCGGTTGAGGGGCGTTCTGGTATGCTCTTTCTTTCCTTTCCTATCAAACATTTTCGTTCGTATCTCCGGCACTTATATGACCTTATTGTGTTGCATGTACCGTAAATTTTTTACTAAAACTAAAAGTTCTTATCTCTCTTCCTTCTTTTCTCTGTATGTTACTCTCTAGCAACGCCTTCTAATCTTTGGAACTCATTTGAATTAATCGAACTAAATCGATCACCATCAAGAATCATCTCCAAGATAGCTATAGTAGGTGGTTGTCATGTGCTATGTTGTGGTTTGCCTTTCTCTTTCCTTTCCTATTAAACTTATCTGTCATAGCAGGTGGTTGAGGGGGCGTTCTGATGTGGTTTGCTCTTTCTTTCTTTTCCTATCAAACATATCTGTCATAGCAGGTGGTTGAGGGGGCGTTCTGATGTGGTTTGCTCTTTCTTTCTTTTCCTATCAAACTTATCTGTCATAGCAGGTGGTTGAGGGGGCGTTCTGATGTGGTTTGCTCTTTCTTTCTTTTCCTATCAAACTTATCTGTCATAGCAGGTGGTTGAGGGGGCGTTCTGATGTGGTTTGCTCTTTCTTTCTTTTCCTATCAAACATATCTGTCATAGCAGGTGGTTGAGGGGGCGTTCTGATGTGGTTTGCTCTTTCTTTCTTTTCCTATCAAACTTATCTGTCATAGCAGGTGGTTGAGGGGGCGTTCTGATGTGGTTTGCTCTTTCTTTCTTTTCCTATCAAACATATATCGCTCTTATCTCTCATCCTTCTTTTCTTTGTATTTTACTCTCAAGCAACACTTTTAATCTTGGGAACTTATTTGACCTAACTGAATGAAATCGATCACCATCAAGGCTTATCTCAAAGATGGTTGGTATGCACTGTGGTGTGGTTTGCTCTTTCTATCCTTTCCTATCAAACATCTTTCGTTCCTATCTCTCCTTCTTTTCTTTGTCTGTTACTCACCAGTAACACCTCTTTTCTTCGACACTTATTTGACGTAATTGTTTTGCAAATGCCCGAAAACTTTTACTAAAACAAACAACATCACAAAACTGGTGAACCACTAGATGGTTCAAGTTCCCACGACGATACAATCGACACCCAGTGTTTTAGATCAAACAAAATAATCGGCACCGTCGATAAAAAGTTTTCTTTCGTTTCTCAAACGTATATTTTTAAAAGAACAATCTTTGCTCCTACTCAGTGAACAAGATACAAGATATTCACTCCCTAAAAATAGTATCAAACGCTCATTAATATCACCTGACCATAGATGTCGCCCCGGCTTTTTATTAGGACGCTGTTGGTTTTTTGTTTTTTTAGAGTACATGTTCCACTGACATGACACACATTAAAATTTAGTAAATTAATTCGAAATTCAACAATCCTTCACAATACGATGTCTCCAAAACGTGTTTTTCATGATATATGAAGATGAGAGGAGACAACAAAACAACAGAGACCTCTAGACAACTCTTTCCCCCCCCCCTCCCCTCATAATCATCATCATCATCATCATCATCATCATCATCATCATCATCATCATCATCATCATCATCATCATCATCATCATCATCATCATCATCATCATCATCATCATCATCATCATCATCATCATTGAAGGTAGCAGAAAAAAAAAAAGGGTTTGAGACTTTGTAAATTTTTCAAATTTAATATAAGTTCAACGTTTCTCCCTGTAAAGGGCTTCCTCAGGAACACGATACAAAAAATAAAGGTCATCATCATCATCATCATCATCATCGTCGTCGTCGTCGTCGTTAATTATTATTAATGGAATTACTACTCCATGAAACATACAAGTCAGGTATTTTTACAAATTAAATAACATGGTGATACTTTTCTGAAAACAAGTCACTCTTTTATTGAACAAATTCAACTTTGTGTTTTATTTTATTTTTCACGTTCATTATTACTCCTAGGTAAAAAGTTTAGCCAAGATAATAATAATTAAAAAGAAAATGGGCTATTCATTGTCTTTTCAACTGCTGGAAAAAACCCCGAATATACTACCCCCTGCTGCGTACATATCACAAATATAAAAATGGAAACACCTCGTATGTAAAAATTAAACTCTTAAATGCATTTTAAAAAGGAACATAGACTGTCTGATTCTGTTGTGATTAATACTCGTATGTATCATGAGAAGTCTGATATCGTTGATATTGATATGCATTATGTATAACTTGTTCAGCAGGCTTTTGTTGACTTAGCCCTGGCTGACTTGGACTTGGCTGACTTGGCCCTGGCTGACTTGGACTTGGCTGACTTAGCCCTAGCTACTTGGCCCCTGGTTTCTCAGGAGATACTTTACAATCACCTCATGGATTTCCATTTGGCACTGCATTTTCTCAATTGGTTGGAAGATTTTTATTTTTTTGAAACAAGCTCGAACACTTTCGAGGAAGAAATGACTGGCTTTCCAGATCTGCATTCTCTGTGTTCTCAGGGATGCATGACATGGCTACAGGACTTTTTGCTTGAGACAAGTCGTCATCACTGCTGTTCCCCGAAAGTTCTGAGAAGTTGCTGGTTGTCGGTCTATCAGCCATGAAAGGCACAAGAAAAGTCATGGCATCATAGAGGTACCATTTTTTCAGGGTCTTTCCTGCTGACCCTGATTTGAAGGTTGTGGCTTGCTTCCTGTTTCTTTGGAAGTAGTTCCTCAACCTTTTCCACATTTTGCGAGCCACTGGCCCAGAAAAGACATAATAAATCAATGTTCAAATACATTCGAAGACATTCATTAATTTCTACATACTTTTGCAGGTTATTTATTTATCTATTTGATCATTTATTTATTCATTTATTTTTGTTTCAGATATCTGGCAGTCGGAAAGTATCCATCTTCATTATCGTTCCACTTTAGGGCAGGAGTATGAACAATTAGAGAGATTGTGAAAGAAACATGTGTGGCAATAGGGAATATTCTCCAACCACGAGTAATGCACAAACCAGATGCTGCAATGTGGATGGCAGTCGCTCAAGATTTCAACGTTACATTTCAGTTTCCTATGTGCATCGGTAGTATCGATGGAAAACCCATTCCCATTTAAAAATCCAGACCGATCAGGATCCAAATACTATAACTATAAAGGTTTTTGTTCCATCATTCCACTTGCTGCTGCAGATGGTAAATGTATAATGGTTGACATTGGATCTTGTGGTGGAAACAGTGACGTTGGAGTCTTTAGCCGTTCCTCATTTGGCAAACCACTAGCAGCAAATAAACTGAACATTCCTTAATCGGACAATATTCTAGGAACGGAAATTGAGATTCCTCATCTTTTAATGGCTGATGATGCCTTTCCTTTGACTAAGCGCTCAATGAAGCCTTTTTCTCACAGGCAACTAACACAGAACAAAAAACTGTTTGACTACAGGTTATCTCTTGCTCGTAACTGTGTCGAGTGTTCTTTTGGGAAACTTGCAGCAATGTGGCGCATACTCCATCGCCAAATAGAAGCACAACCCGAGACTGCCACTTACAGTTTTGACTCAAGCAATGTCAAGCAAGTGTCGGTGACACGGGGATCAGATGGGTGGTCAGTGGAGTGTGTCCTTGAGCAAGACACGACAACCCTAGCTCAAATTACAGGGCGCTGCACAGTGGCGACCGACAGTGGCATTGTTTGTAAACTGGTCTATATTTGTGTAATAGTGTGTATTTATGTATGTATTTATGCATGCATGTCTTTATATATGTACGTATTTATAATTATGTATTTATGTATGTATGTTTGCCATTGTAAAACAAAGTGCCCTTCTGGGACAAATAAAAGTGTAATTATTTATTTATTTTTTTTATTTTATTGTGAAGGCAATCACCGTCTTGCATAAGTTTGTGATTATTGAAGAGCCTGCAAGAAGAATTGGTCGCTTTTAAGCACAAGGGGGGCTATCCCGAATTACGATGTGTTTCGAGAAAATCGAGAGTAAAGTTTTTGCCCCTTGTTCAGTTTCTTTAAAGGACAAGGAGTTTTCTCTTTAACCAAACAAATATACACACCAATGAAACTAAACCTCTCCTGTAGGTAGAGCAATACCCACTTTTGGTGAAGGTCAAAATTTCTGGAAACCCCCGAAATCTGGTTTAGCCTGCTGTTTAGCGACCAATTGTATCAATACAAGAGGACACAGTGACCCAACAGGAAGATGGTAGCATTTAATTGGTTGATGTCCAGAGAGAGACACGTAGAACACCATCCAAAGCTATTGAAATCAGAGAGATACAGATGAACTATTTTCTTTTTGATGCTGGTCGACAGCCATGGCAAGATATAATGTGCTTTAATTAAAATAAAATTGTACTGGTACGGTACATAAAAGAGAATGGATGTAAATCTGTGTGTGTGTGTGTGTGTGTGTGTGTGTGTGTGTGTATGTGTGTGTGTCTGTGTGTGTGTGTGAGTGTGTGTGTGTGAGTGTGTGTGTGTATGTGTGTGTGTGTGTGTGTGGAGAGAGAGGGAGGGAGAGAGAGAGAGAGAGAGAGAGAGAGAGAGAGAGAGAGAGAGAGAGAGAGAGAGAGAGTAATCAAAATAACCTTCAAGTAAAACAAAGTAGTCATACCATCAAGTCCAAAAAATTCCTTTCCCATGTCATCCTATTTCTTGTTACCAAAAACGAGGTTGCTGTAATTTGGCTCACTTTTGCCATAAAGGATCCGGCAAGCCTGGACAGCCGTAATGAATTCTGTCTCCATCTTGACCTGATTTCATCGGAACTGAACACAAAACAAAAACAGCGTGTCACTGTGTCACCGTCCCTGGACAGTGCGATTTTTAAAAAAAATGAAGACTGCGCTATTATTACATTAAGTGCAATCGGCCGGGTCAACCCGACCGCGAGACAAGATCCGCGATGTAGCGGAGACATCTCCGGATGTAGCAAGGCAATTGTGCACTTCCGTCAAAAAGTTGTAGCGAACGTGCAGCTGGAGCGAAGTGAAATGGTGTCGTCACTGCGTTTCAGTAGAAGGTTTAGATTTAAATAGGGTTTCCAATGCAGGTTCACATCGAAAGATGAATCCATGCAGAAGACGTGTTGATGTTTGTTGATCTACATATTAGGCTGGACAGACTTTCCATTATATGAGGTAAATTACGTTTTTTGTTTCACAGGTGATGCTGAGAGAAAGTTTTCTTTTAAAGTGGAAGCCTTCTACAAAGTTGGTCACTTTCATGTTAGCGCGTGTTTTGCATCTAGGATTTTGACAAGAATAATTATGAGGCGGGGACCATGGGTTTATCAGAGGTGAGGGCGTGGGTGTTTCTGCTCTAGTGCGAATGTGGAGGTTGCCAAGATTAGGGGGCTGTCGAAGTGCAACCAGAGGGGGATCTGGGAAATAGGCTTTAATTTTGTTTGATTTTTCCAAAATGTTTTTATGTTAGCCGTGGATTTTATGCACATTGGGTAGTTTTTGGTGATGAGTTGTGACGGAAAATAGTCTTTTCTGTTTGGTCTTAAGGGGTTTGTAGTTCAGAAGGTTTGTACGGTTCAATATTTTGACTTTCTCGATAATGTGAGTTATTAAGTTTTTGCGGTATCCCCTGTGAAGAAGGTTAGCTGTGAATTCCTCTATCCGTTGTTTGAAAGAACTTTCATGGGAACAAATGCGGCGGAGTCTAAGGGCACCAATATAGATCTAGACCACAGAACAGACTATGATTATGTTTCGGATGGTTTGAAGAAGGTGGGAGATAACGATAGGAGTCGGTAGGTTTTTTGTACAGGTCTGTTTCAATTCGGTTATTTACAAGAGGACGGGCAGGTCCAGGAAAGAAGTGGACTTTCCTGATCCTGGGCTGGAGTAAGTAAATTTGATGCTGTGGTGCGCCTTGTTGAGATAAGCGAGAAACATTTGGGTTGTTTCAGAGCAACCATTGTGCAGGGCGATAATGTCGTCCATGTAACACATAGGTAGAAATGGTTGGTTGGGATCATCATCATCATCATCATCATCATCATCATCATCATCATCATCATCATCATCATCATCATCATCATCATCATCATCATCACCATCATCACCATCATTATCATCATTATCATCATCATCATTAAATCCGCATCATCATCATCGGTAACAACAGCATCAATGTCCAACAATAACGACACACCTTACATTTTCTTTCCCTGTATTAGAATTCCTTTTCTTCCTTGTTCTTCCTGTGGCGACGCCTGACATCCGCACAAATGCTGCGGTCCGTGGAAGGAGCTTCAAGCTGCCAACATAATTTTGTCTCCGAGTGGCACTAGCTCTGGCCAGCCAAATTGTCACTCTGGGGTTTGCATGTACAGGACAACATTTCAGTAACAATTCGCTACCTCGGATTTGCAAAGTTCTATCTGCTCAGTACCTAGTTTTGAGAAGTTTGACGTCAAAGATAGTGAGGTTCACACCATGCCAAGATTTTTCGAATGGAATTCTTTGAATATCTTGATAACGACTCGGAATAATTTTCGATTTTGATAGAGCTGATAGAACATCTGGTTTTTGATCTCGTGGTCTCAGCAACTCAAAAGAGGCAAACATGTCAGATTTGTAACTCTTAGGTAGCAAATTGTTTTGAATGCTAACGCTGTTCCCCTCAACAATGGACGGCGGTCTTGGGCAACTTCTATTATATTTACCGATACCTTTAACTTTTATATACAGCTATGGCTGTTCTAACTAGCGCGTAATCGGATAATCCCATTATTCGAGTGATGTGAAGAGCGAGATAACTGGAAGCAGCTGGTCCCTAAGGACTGAACAGAAAGGGGCTATGGCCGGGCAGAGGTCGTGGCTAGAGGTTGGTGGGGGTGAACTGGAAAAGAGTCAGGTCCGTTGTGGGTGGCGGTGCAAAAGGTCAATGCCGGTTATAAACACGTAATTCATTCCATTCTTGGTATGGTTTGATGGGGTGCAGTTTGGTGTGGTATGAAGCAAAGGTCTGTGTAATTTATTAAACACCTAATTATTGATTCCACTCTTCTCATGGTGTGGTGTGGTTGGGCATGGTGTGGTGCGTGGTACTATTTTAGTTTTAGTAGTGGTTTTACGGCGCTCGCAACTGCGTAAGGTCACATGTGCGCAAAGGGGTGGATGTCAACAGAGTAGTCCTTATAGGGACTCAGGCTTACTCTGCTCACCTCTTTAGCTTCAACAGCACAAAGTCTGCTTCTACTATCAAGGCACCCCGGAAAAAGCAGATCACAAGAGTGTGACAAACATACAAAAGAAGTAGACGAAAAATGACGATAGTAAGGATTAGGAAAGAAAAAGTAGCAGTTCCCTGTTGCAGTTAGGTACATTGATGAATCAGTCCATTTACAATTCTACTGAGCTTAAGAACATGTTAGTACCCCCCCCCCCCCTCCACTCCCCTCCCCTTTCACCATCATTGCCTTTCTCATCCTGGATCAGGATATAGGCCACAAACAAACACTTTCCACGTTTCCCTATCCTAGGCCGGTCGCTTGATGTCACTCCAAGTCTTCCCACTTTTCCGTCCCTCCCCTTTTGGAATGACCTAAAGACACTTCAGTCAGTAGCACCGACCCGGGGGGTACAGAAACCTATGCTGTGGGACCCCCATTCAATGTCCATCTCCGATAAGACTGAGCTAGGTGGATGAAGACCCGAAGCTAGAGGACGTCATGTTAGGGCATCGAACTAGGGTCACAGGTATAGTGGTAGAACACAATGCCAACTGAAACAACGGTGTAGCTTCAGGTTTGAGCAGTAAATTGCAATACATAATACTTTGATGTTGAGTACAATAGATAGTAAATACTTTGACTAATCGAGACCACGGACTCCAGCTCCCGTTTTATTCCCCGGGACACAATATTTTGATATAGTATATATCATAGACCCCCCCCCCCCCCCCCCCCCCGCCGCTTTTCCACCCCCCACCAATTCTTCACCTTTAGACCCTGGTATTAAAAGAGACAGACAGAAGTAATGCAATTTTGTATGCCTGATTGTGCATGTGTGTGTGCGTGTGTGTGTGCATGTGTGTGTGTGCGTGTGCTTGTGTGCGTGTGTGTGTGCGTGCATACGTGCGTGTGTGTGCGTGTGTGCGTGTGTGCGTGCGTGCGTGCATGCATGCGTACATGCGTGTGTGCGTGCGTGTGTATGTGCGTGCGTGCGTGCGTGCTTGTATGCAAGAATGCATGTCTGTCTGTTTATATGTACACGTTTATGCAAGTTTGCTTGTCTTTATTCCACTAAATATGCCTTCATTTCACATCGAAAGGTATGCTAACTCGTTCAGGAGACCTTCACTCAAGTTATCCCAATATTAACATACAATCTGAATTCTGCAGCCAAAATGACGTACGGGTAGTTTCAGGGGAGACAAGCGGAATAATTCTCCTGAGCAATCAAGTGATTTGAACGACTTCATTATCTCCCCTTCTCCTTGCTCACCGAGCGGGGGCGGAGGTAATGAACTGCCACCGGCAGAAATTGCAGTAACGTGCAGGCCGGGAGACGGGTAGAGGAGTTCAGTGTACTCTACCACAAAGGCGAAAAGACTTTTACGAAATGGATGAAGCTATCACATTGGATAGCATGCCTTCCATACACTAAATCCATCATTTTTCCATTGTAATAACTAGGTTTATGCTTATTTTATTGAAATTCATTACGTTTGAATATTTGTGTGTTAATAGCCTAGATCTATATCATGTATTTCTCATGTCTGTTCAGTTTGAAGAAATAACACGTCATCATTTAGCGCTAAAAAGAAAAAAGGATTTTACAGACCTATATCTATTAGTTACTAGTATACTATGGACAACCGTTAACCTTTGAATGCTATGACATAAACAATGTAGATAAAATATTCTGGGAGATGAATATCTCATTTAGTGGGTGGTTGGCGGGTGTTCTGGTGTGGTTTTGCTCCTACTTTCCTATCAAACATCTATGGTCCTTATCTACCCTCCTTCTTTTTTATGTTTGCTACTCTTTTGTAACATCTCTAATCTTCTGGTGCTCGTATGACCTTATGCAGTTGCGAGCGCCGTAAAACCTCTACTTTAAAAAAAAGGAATATCTTACAATCAGTTGCGCCCTGAGCTCTATAAGGGTAAGCAAGAGAAGGAGAAACAACTTTCTTACCCTTTGCTTTGTCCTCAAATTTTGGTAGCCATACATTATTTAAACAAACGAATATTTAGTGTGCAGCACAGTGTGCATGAAAAGCCACTTTCAACACTGCAAGAACACTCGAGAGGCGAGGCCTCCTAAAGTAACGTCCATCTCCGATAAATAATGCCAAGTAGGATCAGAGCCTTGAAAACGTCCCCAAACGGCCCAAGCTCTCAAACGGGAATTCAAACAGGTCATTCACATCGCATGCTGAGCAAGATGACAACTGAGTTAAAGGCGCATTCATACTGCCTGAGTTCACATTTACAACAACAGACTATGAGTTCGATGTGTACTCTACGAGCAAAGATCTTTACAGAAAGGGCACGGTGAAAATAATTAGATGAGTGGAACTGTAAAGGGCATTATCCTCCTCTCACCCCCGTTCTCCCCTCCCCACCACCCCATACCCATATATAGTGTACACCCCTACTTGGAGGTGGGCAAAATCCGAATAATGTATAAGGACAACCGGATAATTCTCAATAAAACATTATCCGAATTCAGACTCTTAACTCTCTTTCCTGACCCGTTTGACGAAGTGGGTGCACCCATTTGTTGAAGCGATTGCAAACCCGTTTGTCGAAGTGGTTCTAACCCATTTGCCGAAGCGGTTTATAACATATTATTTACCGAAGAGGTGCACTAATACAATATCCGGATTTTGCTAAAGCGACTCAGTGCCCAGCACTACCCCAACTCCCACACCCCAACACCCCAACACCCCTCCCCTCCCCCCCTACCACAACCAGTGTCCACCCCCACCCTATCAAGGCGATCGCTGCACCACCCAAGCGCTATCGGTGAATTCTATGAATAAGATATTATTCTTTTGTCCTTCACCTCAGAAATGATTACGGGAAAAGGGGGGGGGGGGGTGTGAGGGACAGAAAATTGGAAGAAGGGAGGGTGGGGAGGTGGAGTGCATACTTGTCTCTTTCCCTCTCTTCTCT